ATATATATATATATATATATATATATATATTAAATACTAAAAGTGGAATGATACAGAGAAGATTGCAAGCCCCCGGCAGAAAGGATGACACGCAAAATCATGAAGTGTTAAGGGTTACGGTTAGGGTTAGGGTTAGGATTTGCACAATCACGAAGCCGAAAGCACCAGCCTGAAGATGGCAAGTGGGACCTCGTTTAAACGTCACCAAGATATTCTCAATCTTACATGGGAAAAGACCTGAACATGCCAAGACCTGCATACCTGTACCTGTGAAAATCTACAAACACACACACACACACACACACACACACACACAAATCTATTCTACTTAGAGACTGGCAAATGAGGTGCCATACAGACTTTTGCAATAATGTATAAACATAATACATGTGAAGACTAACGATCCTTACAAAGAACAACTAAAACTGTCTCATCGGGGACTTGGAAAAATCATTAAAGAAAGTCCCAAACCTGGTGGCTTAGGCAGCATTTTTGTCTGTTCTCCCAAACTATAGAGAGAGAAAGAAAACATTACTGAAGATCATCATTGGCAACGCTGGTAGCACCAAGATGATGGCTTTGGTTTCTGGGACCATGCCTGAATTATCTGAATGATGGACCACTGCCAAAAATAAAGGCTTCCATCTCACAAAGCATGAATAATTTATTTAGAAAGACTTTATCGTGGAGACGAAATCATCATCTGTTTTGGATAGTTTCATCGAGATTCCGGCACTGAAACTTTGATGGGAATGACTCCTTCAACCTCTGCCTGTATGAACTATATTTTTGAACATATAATTTATATGTTGTTTAAATGTGAAAGTATTGAAATAATCCTTTATATCAAAATTCATTTTAGGGGAAAGATTTTGAGCTGGGAACTCTCTTGCAAAATTTGGAGAAGTGCGAACCTCTGATGAATAGGTACATTTTGATTTGCACAATCTGGATTTTCCTTCACATGCTGCAAGATACCTGATGTTCTCAGGGAATCCTACGCTAAATTTTCCCTGCTGGATATACCCTTGAAGCATTGGTGCCACAAAAAGGGTTGCCTCGTGATTCTTGGAGAAATCATTCACTAAGACAATTCAAAACTAAACAAAATAATGAAGAGAGACTATATATCCAGTTCTTTATTTAATGCTGAATAAAAGAAAAGAGTCAGTAGGAGAAAGGAATGGAGGAAGAAATGGAAGTTATTGCTGAAGAGACGGTAGTATAATCATCTTCACATTTTAGGGAAGAAAAGGTCTCATGGCACGAGCCGCTGCACACAGCCCGGACTTCAAGAGCAGCGAGAGCATTTTAATGAAAGAAATGTGATTGCACCCCAAAGGCATTTTTTATATAGATAGCCAGTTGGGTGGTTAAGACACCAGGCTGCAAACTGGGAGACTATGAGTTCAAGTCCCATCTTAGGCACAAAGCCAGCTGGGTGACCTTGAGCCAATCTCTTTCCTCTCAGCCCTAGGAAGGCGGCGATGGCAAACCACTTCTGAAAATTTTGTCAAGGCATGCCCAGGCAATCAAACACCAACTCAAAGGCAGAAAAATCTGCAACGTCTCTGCAGTACAGATACAGTGGGGGACAGATAGACACAAATATTTCTTTTCAGTAAAGTCACAGCTTGACTGTGGCAGAGAAGACAATGCTCATTTCTGAGGATATGCATTCTGAGTTCTACACTTTGGTAGGATTAATCTCTGTTTGGCATCTTAACATCTCCCTGCGAAATCAACAGCTGGCCCTAAAATTTAGCAAAACGAAGCAACTCTTGGAGAAGCAACCCAATTGCAAAACAATTCGATCTGAAGGTGCTGCAATATTTCCCCATTAATACAATTTATGAAAGGGGAGCAAACCGAGTTACTGGTATTTACCTCTCTGTGTGATAGGCTAAAAAAAACATCTTGGATTAAAAATGAAACTAAGGTGCCAAAGCTACTTGCCCAGCCTGGGCTGTTCTGGGACTTGATTGTAGAGTGAGACATCATTTGCTATTCTGCTTAAAGCAACAAGGTTTTAGACTTTTGTGTATTTGGAAATACTTTTTAAATAGTGTTAATTGTAGTAACATTTATAGTCAAGGACATTATGATTGGTAGCTTGTACTAAGATTCTAGTGTATGTTTCATGTGTTACTTTCGCTTGTCTGCATGCTGTTACATGGCTTAATCAAGTGGCTAAGACGCTGAGCTTGTCGATCAGAAGGTCGGCAGTTCAGCAGTTCGAATCCCTGGCACCGCATAACAGAGTGAGCTCCCGTTACTTGTCCCAGGTTCTGCCAACCTAGCAGTTCAAAAGCACATAAAAAATGCAAGTAGAAACATAGGGACAACTTTGGTGGGAAAGTAACAGTGCTCTGTATGCCTTCGGCATTTAGTCATGCTGGCCACAGGATCATGGAGATGTCTTCGGACAGCGCTGGCTCTTCAGCTTAGAAACGGAGATGAGGACCGCCCGTAGAGCTGGAAATGACTAGCATACATGTGGAGGGGAACCTTTACTTTTACCTTACCACCTACCTTCTGATAAGCAAAGTCAGTGGGCAAAGTTGCATTCATTTAATGACCCCAGCAAAAATGTTATAAAATTGGGTGTAACTCACATAATGACCAACTCATTTAAAGGTGAAAGTTCCCAATTGTGGTCACAAATCCAGGACTATCTACATTATAAGACATTCTTTTGAACATTAGCAAACTTCAACTCCTAGACACTTCTTCCCAGATATTTTCGTAACTGGTTGCTCACTTAATGGATATTTGGGTTTGATATAGTTAGAAAAGGACTGGATTTAATTGAAGTTGAGATGCCTGGGCTTGTTTTAATTTCTGCTCAATGTTACTAGGGATTCAAGTTATTCTAATCAAGAATACCTTCTTTGTGAGCTTAAGCAAATGTTTTCAATAAGAATGCCAACTTCCCGCTCGTAAAAAAGTAAAAGGCATTTGACAAGCATTCAGGATTTTGTACAGGATACAAATGTATTCTTTTCATTCCATCAACTCCAGCTTCATTAAAGTCATGAAATCATGTAGCCGCTGCTTTCATTGAAGTCAACTAAAACGTATAGTTTAAAAAATGGTAAATTGGCATTATTTTTTTTAAAAAAACTTAAACAGCAGGGTTATTTATTTAGCATATGGCAAAAATGTTTAAAAGCATATCACAATTACATTGTCAATGAGCAAATATGAAACTATTTATTCTACTAACAAATTTGAAGGTTGACTAGTTATATAGTCCATGCATAAGGGCAGGGTTATTGGTAGGCACGTTAGTCGTTGCTGATGGGTATGTCATAATACATCTAATTTCAACAAAATACTTAAAAACGTCACTAGCCTTGATTCCTACTGGAAAATCTCATTTGTAGAAGCCCGTCTTTCTTTTTCAAACTAAACAGCATTGTTTGTTGTTGTTGTGAAAATGTGTAGATTTAATCAACTGAGCTAAAACTTCTCCAGAAAATAGAGCTAGTGGTTCTTGTGTTTTAAATTGGATTGGGTGATAACTTTAAACAAAATTGATTTTATTTTCTTTGCAGAAGGAGAAAGTTTTGTCTTTAAAAGGGTGGGGCTGCTTTCTCAAAGAATCATATGATCTCGCGCTTAATTTATCCAGAGCCTCTTGTAGACATCCTGTCTGTTTTTATGCCTACTTAGTTTCCAGTCACGAGGGAGGATCCCATAGATGCGATGGGAAGACAGGTATAGAAAGGTATAATCTATCTCCCCATCCTACCCCACCTCGCACCCCTAGGGGTGAAGCAGAAATATGCGATTAATCAAAAAATCCTATTTTTGGCCATTGGGAACATTCTGGTTAGAGGTAACGAAGGAACTACTGAATAATAGAATCAAAGCAGAATCATATCCAGTGTTTGCAATGGAATACTTATTTCTGGTTTGAATGGAGTTTTGGGCAAGACACTTTCAGGAATGTAGTTGCTCCCCCCACCCCCCACCCCCCCCCAAAAATACGAAGCCACCTGAATAGAATCAGAAGAGGCCATGCCAGAACAATGGCAAAGCTCTCTCTAAGTGGGGAATGGCCGAGAGCCCACAATGAGATGGTGGTGCACAGGAACAAGCTATAACACATATAAATTCAAGAAGTTCTCCTCAGGAAATTTTAAGACACCTGGGATAATCTCACCGCAGACACACCAGAAGCAGTTAGATGGCTAGCTTCTTTAGATACTAAATTATAACATCTATCCTATTGCAGTCCTATGACTATATATTATGTAATTGTATGATTTTATCTTAATTTAATATTTTTATCTCCTATCTCATGTTGCTCATATTCTCTCTCTCTCTCTCCCTCCCCCCCCCCCCCCCCTCCCCCCCCCCTCTCTGTGTATATGTATGTTGGTGTTTTAGTTAAACTAAATTTGTATGTTAGTGATTGCATGACCTCTGTAGATGCCATTTGCTAAATAAATAAATAAGGGCAGGACAATTATTTAATGAAGCAATAAAAATCAGTCTTATACTTCAGTACATGCTAGTCACGTATTCACTTACATTTTGCTTACGTTCATAAGGTGCAGACACAAAGCTTAACGGATAGCTGAAACAGTTGTCTAGCGATTGAATAGTTCTCTGGTCACTGCTATAAGCCCATCTTGATTCTATCATGAAGCCACTTATGTTCCAAGAATGCCTTCATCTTCTGAAAGAGTTCTATGACATTTCACCTATTTTAAGCCAGTTCCTAAGAAAATTCTTTGAAATTAACCAATTTATACTACTACTACTACTACTACTACTACTACTACTACTACTACTACTACTACTGTTCTTATTTCCCATTTTTAATTCTGGAAATTCAAGGCTACCCCATGAACTTCATAACTGAGTGAGGATTTCAACAATTCTTAGTTCTTTTATTCAGATTTTCTCTGCAAAGTCAGAATCAGTATAGGGCTTGAAGGGACCTTGGAGGTCTTCTAGTCCAGCCCCCTGCTCAAGCAGGAGATCCTATACCATGTCAGACAAATGACTGTCCAGTTTCTTCTTAAAAACCTCCAGTGATGAAGCACCCACAACTTCTGAAGGCAAGCTGTTCCACTGGTTAAGTGTCCTCACAATTAACTAATTGAGT